TGGTGGTGGTGGTGGTGGTGGTGATGGTGGTGGAAAACAAGCCCATCACCCTGGAAGCGGGGGATTTCGCTCGCAGCCTCGAGGCCATCCACAACATGGCAGATCACGGCCGAGGGATGAGGGCTGACGAAGTAGAAGCCACAATCGGGAAGTACGTGGAGAGCCATCGCAGGCTGATATACGAGAACATCGCCCAATCGGCCCAAGAAGACGGCCTGCTCACCCAGGAGCCAGCGAACAAAAAAAAACATCTGCGGCAGGCTCCTTCGGTTCACCGAGACGCCAGGGAGGAACAAATGCTTGTCAAGTCGATCTGTTGAGAACGGAAGCGGAAGACTTGGTCAAATACCCCGCGGAAACTGCCGAACAACACGGCAGAACCATCCAGCACGACAAACGTTACTGTCGGGGGGACCGAAGGAGGGGATAGCAAAGGGCAGGGTAGAGAATCAGCTTACGTAGCTGATTTTCCCAGCGCCTGTCGGCGCCAGGAGACGCCCATGTATCGAGGAATGGGCCCGGTGGCGCCGAAACCAGCTGCATGCAGCAGATTTCGTAACCCCCCCTTTCCCTATCCCCTCCTTTCGTTCGGCCCGATACTGGACAAGCACGGATGGAACAGATCGGTTCAGAGCCGTGAAGACCTGAAAGGAAGCGCACCTTGCCGCCTGCGAGCCCGAAATGCACTGGAGAGATGAAGAGGCCATGCGGCATGGGGCGATGGCGGGACCGATGCGTCAGGCAGCAGCACCTGTTGCAGGGGCGGCGCCCCACATCGGAGCGCTCCACGACTGCGATTGGCTGGATTGGTTGGTACACTCTCCAATGATCGGAGTCGGAGGGGGGCACATACATTCCCGGGTAGCTCCTTGGAGAGCTCAGAAGGCTTCTGACTAGAAGCCGGCAGCACAAGGTGGCCGGCAGCTCTTTCTGGCGGCGGTCAAGGATCCCCGCAGCAACTCCGGTGAGGTTGCAGCGGGTCCAGAGGAATGTTTTCCGACTCGTTCCCAATACGCGTGCCGGAAGCCAAGCTCCTTGGAAGCTCATGCGAAGCTCCCTTTCTCGAGCTTGTAAGCTGCCCAGACATCCTTTCAAGCGTCCCTGCTCAGAAAGAGAAAAGGTGCCCATACCGCTACACCGGACTCACTTCTATAGCGCTCACTTCTATAGTGCTCACTTTGAAATTGTGGTCCGGAAGGGGCCGCACATGCAGGCACATGCCGCACAGTCGCATGCACATGCCCATGCAAATATACAAAAGCCTCAACAGCATTGCCGCACATGCGCGCACATGCCACACCGTCCGACGCACAGTCGAATGCACGGTCAAGCAAAACTCTGAAAGCATAGACGCACATGCCCGCACATGCCGCAGAGATGTCGCAGGCGATAGTGGCCTGACCACCTGAGCTCGGGGCATTTCGCAACCCAGAGTTCCGAGGATGTCTCAGGCAAGCGTGGCCGGATCACCATGGGGCAGGGCATCTTGGAAACCAGAGTGGCGAGGATGTCGCTGGTCAAGGTGACCAGACGACCATGGGGCAGGACACCTCCGAGGTCTGAGTTGTGAGGATGTCTCAAGCGAAAGTGGCCTGACCACCATGGGGCAGGAGATCTCTGAGGTCAGAGTTGCGAGGATGTCTCTGGGGAGAGTGGTCTGACCACCTCAGCCCAGGGCATCTCGGAGCCCAGAGTTGCGAGGATGTCTCAGGCAGGACTGGCCTGACCACCTGCTCAGGGCATCTCAGAACCCAGAGTTGCGAGGGTCTCAGGCGAAAAAGGCCGAGACACTATGGAGCAGGGCATCATTGAGGTCAGAGTTGCGAGGATGTCTCAGGCAAAAGTGGCCTGAACAGCTCAACTCAGGGCATCTCGGGCGAGGATGTCTAAAGCGAAAGTGGTCTAACCACCTCAACTCAGGGCGTCTCGGAACCCAGAGTTCCGAGGATGTCTCAGGCGAAAGGGGCCGAGACACTATCGAGCAGGGCATCATTGAGATCAGGGTTGCGAGGATGTCTCAGGCGACAGTGGCTGACCACCTCAGCTCGGGGCATATCGGAATCGAGACTTGCGAGGATGTCTCAGGCGACCGTGGCCTGACCAGCATGGGGCAGGAGATCTCTGAGGTCAGAGTTGCGAGGATGTCTCAGGCGAAAGTGGTCTAACCACCTCAGCTCAGGGCGTCTCGAAACCCAGAGTCCCGAGGATGTCTCAAGCGAAAGTGGCCGGGCCACCATGGGGCAGGGCATCTCCGAGACCAGAGTTGCGAGGATGTCTCAGGCGAAGGTGGCCAGATTACTTCATGTCAAAGCACGTCGGCCTCCAAATTGCCGACGACGTCTCACGCGGAACTGGCCGGACGCGAACGCGCGGGCGTCCGGAGACGAACGCCGGCCCCGGCATTCTTGCACGTCCCGCACATGCACTGCACAGGTACGCACAGTATTCGCACAGGCCGAGCTCGCCAGTGGCCGAGCCAGGCCAGCGATTCCGAGATTCCCTGAGCTCGGGCCGTCAAGCCACTTTCGCCTGAGACAGCCTCGCAACTCTCACCTCCTCCTCCTTCATTCATGGGCATAAAGAGGTCAGCCAAATCCAGGCTCGCCTGACCTCAGGAGAAAATTTAGTCGGAGTCGTCCGATGCCCGCCCTGGAATGAAAGACGGGGGGCCCCTGGCCCCTGTATGGGCCGCGGGGGCCTGCCCTCCACGGGGGGAGGAGGCGCCGTCGGCCTGGGGCCCGAACAGGAACCTCGACGCCTCCTCCTCCTCCTCGAAGTCGCTCGCTCGGGGCGGCACAGCGACGGCAGGGCGGACCGACTCGACTGGAACAGCTGCGGGTAACGCAGCCAAGGAATGATCCCCATCCCCGCCCAACTCCCCGCCCAGGTCCCTCCACCACTGGGCAGCACCGTGGAGAACTCTCCATGGGCGGGAGAGGCGGGTGCCTTTTGGCCAAGGCAGCGTGCTTCGGCGAAAACAGCGCACCTGTGCCTTCTTGATCTTAGCACAGGGTCCAAGAAGGTGCTTGGGGGTGCGGGTGCAGTACGA